AGCAAATGGAAGTCCTCTATTCTTTCCACCCAACATTCCAAAGGGCGGAATCTGCCAGATATTGCAGTTGTTCAGTAAAAATGGAAAGAAGTGGATCTAGTTTGAGGTCAGAGGTCTTTTTTGAAGTCACAAGACGTTAAAGGTTGACTCTTCACTCAACCCATGGCTCCTTTGAGAAATCGTCAGACGCCGCGCTGTTGGTCCTAAAGCATGGGGCGGAGAAACATAAGTTTGGTTGGGTTCCACGTAGGAGTTTGAGCCACAAGTTACCCAACATTTCCTGACCCTCTTTACTTTTGGGGCTTCAACCAGGGCCTTTAGATTGGATTGCAGGTCTTCTTTTTATGTCTAGCTGTTAATCTTATTTGAGGCCATGCCTCTTCAGGGCTCCACGAAACAAACTGCAGGTACCAACGCAATTGAGACCAAATTCGAGGGTATTCCCCCCAGACAGGAAGGGGCAGGTACGTGCTTTGTCGCCATATATTTATTCCCACTCGGAGGACTTACAAGCACGACTTTGGCAAATTGTTGCCATTGCCGCTATTTGCAAACCACTGTCCTGACACGCCAAATCTCTGGGCCCCTTCAAGTATGGTGTTTAGCCTTTTGGTGGGTTGCTGTTGAAAGAGTGGAGCCCGGACTTATGTTGCTGGTGCTCAGTAAGGAATCGCGAAGGACTAAGTACAAGGGATCTTGCATAGATATCATTCCCACTGGCAAGTTAGATCCAAACGAAGATCTGGAGCACCAAAAAAATCATTTGGGTCCTTTAAACCGACCCGGGGAGGGTACACATGGTCTATGGTCTATGAATACATGGTCTATGGTCTATGGTCATTCGCCTTAAGACAAATTCACCGAGCCCAAGAAACTGTGTGAGGCGCTGGCCCTGGAGACGGCGCTGGCAGAGGCGGAAGACCTGGAGCTACCGCAGCTCTGCATGGAATGAGCGAGGGTCCAAGTGAGCTTCATGGAATCCAAGGGGTTGCGGTTTCTTGCGACCGGTTTCGATTTCTTGGATTGCAACTGGTTCCCAATCCCTGTTTGTGTCAAGTATCCGATTGGCCAAGAAAAGTCATCAACCCGCCATGAAGACCCCATCCGGGGGGTAGGTAAAGACCATCGGAAGGTGGGTAAAGTAGTTGGGAAGTCTAGGAATTGATAGAATTCTGTAGGAGCTTTAAGGGACCCTCCCTTGGACCGTCAGGGACTTTCCAACTGTACCCCGGAGGGTTAAACCTCTAGTTGATCAATTTACGAGGGAATTGTTAAAACAAATTCACCCAGGGAGTTGATTCGTGCGGGGTCGATGTTATTGACCCTTGCCAATTCTACTATGTGCCACTGTTCTGAGGGTGACGATTTGAGGCAGACCCAAGGAGCAAACGGGTCGCACCTTAGGCCGCGGTGGCGCCTGTCCTTGGCCCAGCGGCGCCTGGATCCCACGGCGCCAGTGGCGTCGCTGGAGCTGGAGCACTTTGTGGCCTTGGCGCAAGTCTCTCGGCCGATGCGCAGGTCCCCCAGCTAGGTGCCCTTCTCGCCCCTTTTTGGGTTGGGAGGGTGCCCCTATATAGTCAACTAGACTACAGACAAATAGGGTACGACTCGAAAAAAGTTGGTAGCCTTATTCTCACCTCTCTACTGGAGGACTTAGGCAGGGATGGATGTGGCTCAAAATCAATCAGCTGGGGTTACGCAGTCTTTAGCCTTTCTTCCCATATGCCAGGTGCCATTTTGAGTACCGTTTTCTGAGCCAGAGGCAGAAAAGTGATCGACTCACTCAAATCAAAGCAAGCTCACCGAGCTCGGATCTTCTGTGTTTTTTTTCCTTTAGGGGAATCAACTGCAACACATGAGCAGCGCCCAAAAAACGAGAAGATGGTGTTTATACCAACCTTAGCGGTTCCCAGCCGCCCCCCGAAGTTTTAGGTTTTGCAGGTTCAGTTGGGATTTCCATTGAACCCGCGAAAAGTTAGACTTTTAGCAGGGGACGCAAACGTTTTTTTTTGCGGAGAGTAGCCCACGAAAGCTTCACGGAAGGGCATGCCAACGTCCTTGGGAAAAGAAGGGCTGACTCAGCCGAAAGCAGCGCGGCAGAGGAAAGCCTAGAGTGGAAGGTTCATCAACGTAGCTGCCAACGTTTGCGTGGCACTGGACACTTGTACTGAACATTCGCGTTGTTTGAGCTGGAGCTGCCGAAGCGTGCTTCGCCAATTGCACCTCTGCACCAGACCGCCAGGAACTCCCATATTTGCAAAACGCATGCGCGCAAGGGCTTGCAGAAAGCAGTGCACTATATCTGAAACTACTTCTCAGCGGGAGACAAGCGAGATTGCTTAGCGAACGCGCCCGTCAGCTGGACAGCAAGATCTCAAGCCATTTTGAGCACCGCTCACGGGTTTTGGTTTTGCCTCAAATGAGGGCTGCCAAAAAGTAAAGAGGTGGTTCCTTGTCCGTCCTTTTCCAGGTCCCCCAGCTAGGCGCCCCAGCTAGGTGCCCTTTGACCACCTTGGGTTCCCCTACTAAAACAGACTACAGAAAAATGGGTACCCTTATTCTAACCTCTCTACTGGAGGACCTAGTTTTTAGCCATTGCACACGATCGTTCTTTCCAGAAGCCAAGCGCCATGCAATTCTCCGGAAGGAAGGATCGGGTTTAGTTTTCGTTTTGCCGTCCGAGAGACAAACAAGCAGGAACTGGTTCGAGAATTCTTACCCCGTCGCTCCAGTCCTTGCTTCTGCCAACTGCGGCGCCCAACACCCCCATTCGCCACTATTTGACTAGGTGGTCTGCAGTTGGTTGCAAGGTTTGCTTGTTCACAATTTCCCTTTGGGCGCCATGGGGGCGGTTTTCAACGGCCCGCCCTGGCCTTGAGTCTGTTCCGGGCTCGTTTTGATTGTTTGTTGTCCAAAGGATCAGTGTTTCCATTGGACCAATACCAGAATCTGTTTGATTAGCTTGTTTGTACATGCCAAGGTTTGCCCAGTAAGGGCACGTGTTTGGGCTGCGGCCAATGCTGAGGTAGTATAGAGGAGGCCCCCCATAAAGAGACAACCGCACCCAACAAGGCTTCTCCATTTCGGTTCGCCTGTCGGGTCTGGTGTAATCCGCCGAACCTGTTTACTTGGATTTCCCTGTGGAACCCTTGGCCCTTCTCCAGTTCAGCCTGCAAAGTTATGATTGAACCTTTGCCATCACCAAGATTTGTATGCCAAAAGAGGATCACTTGTTTCTGTTCTCACTTCAAGCAAATCGATTTGACCTGTCGGCTTTGGCTTCCAGTTGCTCAAAACCGGATCCCCTTTGGCATTCAGGCGCTCATGGGTTTACATCTCGCCTGTGGGCATGCAATCGGGATGTCTGAGCCAACATGTGTGTGTGTGTGTGTGTTTTCCTGGAGCGCACTGCTTTTGGGAGCTGGTTTAAAGGCACACGAACAGTGTATTGAAGGATAAAGCTTCAGCAATATGCAAGTTGTGTTGCCCTGAAAAACATATATAAGCTCCAATATTTGTTTGGGGGGTTCTTTCCCATTTCGTTTTCCGGCAATGCCACTTAGTCCGGAGCCGAGGACTTCTTTGCCCCGAGCGCGAAAGAAAAGAAACGCGCGGGGAAAGAGATCTGGGGGGATTTTGGGTAAACTTCTCTAGGTCCCCCAGCAATTGGTGCCCTTTCTCGCCCAATTTTTTTGGTTGGGAGGGTTCCGACTAGAGGAAAAGAAGGTACCCTTGTTCCAACCTCTCTACTGGAGGACCTAGTTCTGCAACGGTTGGATGAAAACGGAAGAAGATGGGGGGTAAACCACGTACCAACTGCGGGCAAGTCGCGTAATTGGCAGTGGTGCAGGATTTTGTCCGCAGTGGGACTTGCATCCACTCAGCTTGAAGGCGTTGTGCTGGGGCTGGTGTGGCTTCGGATTGGCACAAATGTTGCGCAGCCATGCCAGTTGGCTGGGAGCCAGGGTAGGCGAACTGCTTTGGACCATGGTCTTGAGAATCCAGATTTGGGTATGTGTCAAAACTGGGGGGCCCTAAAAGTTTGCGGTATTCCTTTGCTTCCCCCTTATACTTAAGAGGAAAAGGGCAGGCTCATTTATCATTGCCTCAGCCGAGTTCCCCCCTGCGAACCGTTGCAGGGGCCTTTTGTTTGAAGGCTGTCATTTTGTTTGGGGCGATGACACAGTTCAAGGGAATTTTGAGGGTGCGATCGATGGATTTTGGCTTCGGCTCCAAGATCACGTATGTTTTGAGACCCCTCATTCAGCACTTCGGGGTACAGCTTCGGACCATGGGTCCTCCATACCCTTTGGCCCCCATCGGAGTTGGACCCTTTGGGCAGATGGCCACTTAAGTATAATTCCCCTTTAAGGACTCAGCCTCAGCGATTCTGCCCCTAGGCTTGGGCCAACCCAGTTGAAAACGTTATATACTGTGGTAAGTATACTGGTGTTTGACTCGCTTGTTCAAAGCAAATCGACCTGAAACGACCTTTTTTGGTTTTCCTATGCTCTACCCTTAGTCATGGCCTCAAAGGGTGATCACCTTTTGCTAGGTCTTTTGGGCAAGTAAGTTAAGCATCCCGATTTATTGCAATCAAATGGCTGTGGGTCAAACATACATACCCAACATGGAACCCTGGCGAATGGACACAAGGGCTAAACCTGCGGTCCATACCTGGTGTTTTGATCTTGACCCATAAATGAACGGTCAGACATCTCAAAGGCTTAGTTATGGCTTCCTTATGGGACATCAGTCCAAAAAGGGTCCAAAATGGCTATGGGTTCATGGACGTATACAAACAGCTGAACATTCGCAAAAAAAAAACATACCCTCAGCAAAAAGACGAGCCACCCAAATGGCCATGGGTCACTCCATATTGGGGCGGATGAACACCCATGTACCACCTATTTTGATGTTCACGAGGGGTTTCCTCATTTTGACCCACAGCCAAATGGACCGGTCAGAAGTTTTCCCTTGCGCCAAAGCAAGTCCCGCAGGTCTCCTCCTACATCACGCCACCGGCCCAGCTCCGGGTGAAGATGCGGCCGGGCAAGAGTCACGAGGACCTCTTCGCCGATGAGGCGAATGCGGGGAATGCGGGGAATGCGGCCGTCAGCACCCGGGTCCATAGCAACCGCTGCCTTTTCTGGGTCACTCCCAGCCATCCGGTTCCTTAGCTTTTTCTTTTGGTGTTTAAACTTTTGGCGGGGGATCTGAGGGCAGTCCAGTTTTTCACCCCAAATGGTCCAAGGAGGTCAGCTGGGTCCTGTAGCGTTTGTATCCACAACCTCTTTTTGAGGGTTCCCTGATGGGAAAACGAAACCCAGACTGTCCAAGTACCTTCTGAGGATAGCTTTTGGGGGTCCAAAAGGGTGTAGGTACATCCTTAGAAGGTACTTGAACCCTCTGGTCAAGGTTTTGTTTGTTTATTTTGTTTGGAGGAAAGGGAGGTTTCAGGAAAGGAAGCCAAACGGAAACTAAAGGTGCCCTCCCATGCCCTCCCTATTTTCGGGACAACCCACGGGCCAATGAGACGGTTCGTCGCCAGGGCTCCGCGCGAGTGAAGAGGAAGCCAGTGCGCGCAGCTCAGTACTCGCGCCCAGCGCGAGTGTCCGAAGGCCCTCTAATGTTTAATGTTGACCCCACATTCATCGTCAATCTCAGTTTTTTTTTCTTTAAGGGGGGTGTCCCTGAGTTTCGTGGGGAATCACCACTTTTGGAGGGGAACACCCTCCTATTCATAAAGTGGGGTTGATTGATATGGCGTCAACATGATCTCAATTGCACCAACAAAGGCTTGTTACCCCCCCTTGGATCTCACAGTCTTTGGGGCTGTCAAACGGCGAGCCACCTGTTTTCGGGACGCGCTACACACTTCACTAAACCCACCCAACACCTACCCGAAACCAACCTAAAACCACCCTAAACCTACAAGCACAAAAGCTGGCAGGTTCTTTCATTTGAGTCAGGAACACATTTGTTTCTGGCCAGTCACTTGAGATGGTCAGCATCTACTTCAACACGAACTCACCTTACTGGGGAAGCCTGGTTCCCTGTTTCTGGACGTTACTTGCTCATAGAGAGTCACCTCAGGCACAGTTGGAAAGTAGGCACAGTATTTGGGTTTAGTCATCCCCTTTCACCCCAGAAGGAAGAACCAGTAGCTAGAATGTCATATGGGCGTGGCTCAAAATGAAAGAGGAGGGGAAAACCGCAGGTTTTGGTCCATGTTCCCACTTTCCAGGGCAGCCCATTTTGGGGTCTCGGTTTTTTGAGCCACGGCCATATCTCTAAAGGTTCCCATTCTTTTTCTTTTCAAACACCAGCTGTTTCCCTGGGTTTTTGATGGGTTTCCTAAAAAGATTCGGATCCCTGGAAAGAATGGAGAAGGTAGAGCTAGAATATCGCGATGCATTTCCCCCCGCCTTCCGACGTGCCGAGGTCGGGGATCATGGGCGCTCTACAGCTGGCAGCCCGGAGTTGAGCCGCGGACCGGCATGGGAAGGGTACCAGTTTTCAGGTTCTCCATTGGATCCTGCAGGAAGGAATTGGTATGAAAGAAGCCCCAGGGTACCATTGTTTCAGGTTTTTCAGGTTTCAGGAACGCCTGGTTGGGCCGCTGTAGAGGGTAATGGGGAGACTACCCTTAACCATGAAACCACCAATCCAAACCGCCAGCTAATGCGCTACGGTAGGAGAGCCATGCAGTACCAAGCCCCGCTTGGTCTCGTGGCGTCTTGCTACCGTGCCTCAACCAATTGGGGCGGGTACCAAAGTTTGGGGTGGTATAAAGGGCAAGTAAAAGGAACGCCAATTTCCTCGTTTTGGGGGTCCCTTATTTTTTGACACCCATACTCTGGTTAATTCAGAGACCGTCCTCTCATTTGGGTAGTTTTTGCACGGAATTGAGTTTGTCCAACTAACTTAAGGATAGTCCGTTGGATTCATAGACCTTTGGTTGATTCAGCGGAAACATGTTCCTTTTGCTACTTGCCATGTAGCTACCCTCCCAGAAGGTCTGGGTACTTGGTCCGACTCGGAATCAACAGGCACTATAGTTGTTTGTAGATGGTCTTCATTTTTAGCCGAGCCTGCAAAATCAAAGTTTGGTGCTACCATACCAGGGTGGCAAAGGTGTTTCAGAGATGACTTGATTGCCCCTGACGACTAAACCCTTGCTCGAGTTGCAGGCTCCATCCCTGATTTCCTAGACTTGAAGCTTTTTGGAATGACCATTTTAGTGGTAAGAGACCATATAGTTGGAACGAAACTGACAAGTACCCTGTCCAAAGCTGACTGTTGCTTTTGCTCCGTTCGGTTTCTCTTTGGCTCCAATTGATTCTGTGCGCTCCAAGCTTTCTGCAACCAAACAGTTTGGTACTCGATCGGAAGTGAGTAGCCGTGATCTTCAGGACACCTTGGGGAAACGAGCCCCCCAAATCATCCACTGGGGTGGACCGTGCCAGTTGGTCAGCTGCATTGCTCAAGTTCTGAGCGCCTTTGGTGTGTAGAGACCATTCCCAGCTTGATTGATCACTCTCATGATGTGGTATCAGTCACTTGGCAAAGCTTGTTAAATTTGGCACGCGGATACATCATTTGTGCTTTGAATATGTTTAATCATTTGGCAGATGTCTCCCATCCGTCAGAAGCCGGGCAAGAGTTTGTCTAGGCGAAGCGCAAGCATGGTGTGTGTACGCCAAAGGAGTTCTCTCAACGGAATCGATGCGAAGCACATGGATTTTTCCCTTGGCTCCATTGAAGAAAGGACACCGTTTACTATAAACCAACTGGAAGTGACTGGCTCCTTACGACGGCTTCACGGAAGGAAACTTCCCCACATGACCGCCCCACCCACCCCCCAGTACCCCCGAAAGAACGGCACCGCTCCAAGTTGTGAAACTCTCACCTTTCCTGAGTTCAACTGAACTTTAGTCACTTTTTGGGAAGACCATTGTAGTAGCAAGCCAAAAGTTCAGAATCTTCCATTTGCTGAAGAATAGTTATTATTTTCCCCTCTTGGGTTTAGAGGGAACCTAGAACTAAAACTTCTCATTTTTGCCAAGGGACGTATTCGCAAATGGAAGAAGTTCTTCTGGCCAATGTCCTACGATCGGACTTGAGTCCCTGAGGTCTCTTTGGGGGGGCAGTCAGGCCTCCGTGCGGCCGGGATAGGGTCCCAGTGCCACCCTCTTGTTGCATGTGTTGTTGTTTTTTTGTTAGGGGGCGGCAATGGTTTCCCATATGTGCCGTTTTTGGTTGATTTGGTAAGCAATGGATGGCAATTTTTGGTTGACCTGGTTGTTTCATAATCCATGGCAATCTACATTAAATATTGTCCCAAACGACACCACATGGTTTCCTTTTTAAGCCCAAGCAACAAGAAAAAGGCGCCTTTTTTCCGTAGGAAATCAGCGAACCCCATTTTATGGAAGTCCATATGTGATGCCAGGGACCTTCTTGCGCCTACACGAGGCATTTTGTGCCATGGACAAAAAGTTAAATCTAGGGCACTTTCCATTTCCATTCTTTTCAGGGATCCTTCTTTCTAAACAAACACCAAACACCCTGGGCAAACAGCTGGTTTTTTGAGAAGAAAGAATGGGGAATCAACCCCTAGAGGTTGATGAAACGTGGTGGACCTGAACTGGGCGTCTGAGAAGTTGACCTTGAAGGACCTTGTCGGGGATTCATGATGTGTAGGCTTGACGCATGTCCAAAGAAGCAGACACATGATCTCCATTTGCTTGAGAATATGTTGCTTACCAATTCCTGTTGGTTTTAAAGGGAACCTGTCGCTACAGGAAATATTGTTTATGTTTTCCAGGGGGCGAAACCGCAAGTGGAAGATGAGATCAGCGGAGGTGTTTTCAGAACCCTTCCCTTCGATGCAAGCTACAAAACCAAGCAACGAACTACAGATGGCAGCAACATCTCGCAGTCATTGCAGCTCATTGCAAGATCATGAGCCCGTGTATGCACATACCAACCTGTCTTCTCTACTTAACATCACCACCTTGAAAGTGTTGGCCAACTTGTCTAGCTTGGCATGTATCTTTTTGAGGGTACCCTTTTAAAGTTGATTAAATCAGAAAAAAACAGCAAAAAACAACAGATGCCCCTCCAATCTTACATTACATTTCCCATCATGTTGTCTTTGGCGTGTGTGTGTGTGCTTTACTCATTGCTAGTCAGTGCTGCTGCCATGACTCTCAAAAGGTTTACTTTTCCCAGCAGGCCAATCCGCCGAGGAAGGAGGTGGTCAAGAAGGCGTGGACGTCAATTTTCGGGCACGAGCTTTGACCAGCGTTGCCATGCGGGGCTTCCCATACTCCCTGAGTTGCTTTGGGGGGCTCAAATCGACATTTTCGGACCAACACAAAAAAGCATGTGGTAAGATCGGCAAGTTGCTCAGGTCTAGCTGAAGTTTCATGACCCAGGATGGCCCGACTTGGCTTGCCTCTTGGACTTTGCGCCCTTTTTTTCCCCCAGTGCTTTCAGTTACCACTCTCGCGGGTAAACCAGTGGAAACCAGGGCAAAACCTAAAGGTGAAAAAATGTGATTACAAACTACAGGACTATTTGGAAAGTACCGATTGTCTTTCATGTTTCCTTTGAAATCAACAAATGTACCTTTTTGCAATCAATGTGTTTGCCTACTACGGTATGTGGAAGTACTTGTGGTCCTTTGCCTTTGCAACCAACAAATTTACTTTTTGCAGTTGATCTAATTGTTCCTCAAGTTTTGCACGCGATTCAGCGCGAGTCGATCCGCGTGCAGGCGGCAGATGGAGAGCCGGAGCCCAAGACGGGTCAGCAAGATTTGCAGCGGTTGGGTGGGTTGGGTGAGTTTTACAGGGGGTTGAAGGTTGTTATTTGTTTTGGGGGTTGGGTGCTTTGTTTTGCAGGGCAACCAACAGGAAGCCACCCACCTTCTGGGGTCTGCCAGTTGGAGTCCACGCCGTGACTCGCTGCGGCCGATGAGACTAACGGCTTAAGACTTGGTCAAACGGTTTAAAATTTTCGGATAGGCCAACGGATCACAGAAAAAGGGGTACCCTTATTATTCTAACCTCTACTAAAGGATCTAGAGAATCTGAGCGTGTTTTCTTTGTACCGTGAGGTTGGACAGCGTTTTTGTTTGGCAGTCTTCCAACGTGGGTTACTTGCCCATGCTTACCAACCACTCGCTACCCCTTGTGGGGAGGGCGTGCAGTTCCCGCAAAGACCGCGGACCCCAAAACTCCCACAAAACTCCCATGGTCATGGCTTGGGGAAAACGTCAAATTCCCAGGATGTCATGACTTAGGGAATCGGCTGGTTGGGAACCGAACAATGGACTGTCGCGGAATCGACCCCTCGGGGTGCAGCTTGCACCAAAGCATAGTGTAGCATCCGATCAGACACATTGGTTAGAACGCCTGAAAGAGTCGGAGCATTTGTTTTAAAGAAAAATAACATGAATATAATTAAACAAAGGACCTGGTTGTTTCAACCCATTCGCGGTCAGCCAAAAAGGAACAGCAGGAACCTGGTGGTCTCACCAGGCCTGCAGCTTTGAGTGTGGGCAGGTTCGGGGGTGCGCAGCTTTTGCGCTCAGGGAGACGATCCACATCTTCAGTGTCGTGGGCTCGGCTTCAGAGGGTTGCTGGACTCTTGTTCTCTCTAGGTGGGCTCACTTCCAACCAGTTTCTGGAACAGACCGCGAACAGGGTGTGTTTTTTTTCAGGGTACCCTTGGTTTAAAGGGGATTTAAAGGGAACAAAAGGAAACAACCCCTTGGAGGGGGGTCCCCTATTTTGAGACACACCCAACCTGTGTACGTTTTTGGAGGACCATTTTTAGTGGGAATTAACGTTAATGTCGGATGAATGAGCCCTCCCCTCCCCCCAGAAGGTCAAACCTCGGGGGGGGAAGGTAGTTGTAGGCGGCCGCTCTGCGGGATTGAGGACGCATCTGAAAATTCGATGAAGTTTGAATTGGGCTGGAATTGAAATCACATGAAGCCACAATCAAGACCCGGGCAGATGAAGGTTAGTAAGGGACAATCCCAACCAGAAATAGCTGCGGCCGCCTTCTTAATTCTTTACATGGCTCTGGGTAGACCATTTTACTACCGGGTTTTGATTATGACTCGCATGTGTTTTTGTTTTTTTGGTGGACGGCGCGCCGTACCAATTAGGGGTGGTCCTGCAGGCCCGCCTGAGAGTTTAGAGTATCCCGAACAAGCGCCTTAGTCACAGGTGGTATGATCCAATGTTGACATTCAACAACAAGGTCAGACTTGTTGGGTGTGTCTTTTGTTGGGGATTCCAGCCCACCCCCCCCCCAAAAAAAAAAAACACATGGTGTTCGTTTGGTGTCCTTTAAAACCACAAGAACGGGGTGCCCTGAAAAACGACACCCACATCCTCAGTGGGGTTTGCTGAACTGACTCCCCCGCCCCACCAGAAGAGCAGCCAGAATATGTTTGAATCAAGATGGTTCCACTCAAGTTGAAGGAAGTCGCAATTTGGAAGTTGACCGACCTCCAAAGTGGGACAACCGTTCCAAGGACCAAAGGATTAGATTTCGTGTCGCTGAAAGTTGACTCCGAGCTTAAGTAGCTTTCTGTTGGCTTCCCTTTCAGTCCCAAGAAGGTTACCTGTGCAAGACGGACAGGATTGCTAGTGCTTCCAGTTCCAAACGTAGGTAAGAAGAGGAAATCCTAATGTAAGACCCAGAGAGTAAGGAACCATGGCTCCCTACCATAGTGGCAACTGGGATCCACTGGGATTGGCAATCCAATGTTTGGGAAGGATGGGTGGCCCTATTTGGCCGACGTCCTCTATAAGTCGGTTTGAGCAACGATCAGACCATTTGAAAAATTTGAGCGACAAAAAGAGCAAAGCTGCAGACCCAACACTTCGAACATATTTTAATCAACCCCCTCCAAAAGTGGGCTGATTCCCCACACCAATGTCCCCCCACTGGTTCAGTGAGTGGGTCTTGCCCAAGCAATCAATCTCACTTTGGAGGCTCAGTGGAAAATTACATACTGATGGACAACACCCTGCGCCAATTCTCGTTGGATTTGAACCCCTGGTCCTTGCAGAAGGTAGATGGGAACCCCCCCTTCTGAACCACGAAGCCAATCCAAACCAACAAAAAGGAGGGAAGCTGAAGCTACTTGGAAGGTCAAGATTAATCAACCCCAGTTTATTAGGCTCCCTCCGGGTAAGTCCGAAACCTCAAATTGGGCAACCCTTGGGATGTGGAAAGGGAAAACCAAAGGAAACCAAAAAGGACACGTACTTCGATATGCAGGGGCTAACTAAGTGGTTAGAGACCATGGTAGCCCACCAAAGCCATGGTTCCTGAAGGTACCCGACTCCCCAAATGATCGCTTGGTACTTTGCGAGGATGAACCAGGATCGCCTCGTTTTGACCCCTGAAGTAGCTTAACAAGAAACATTTATCCGCCACCTTTCAGAGACTCCTCGAAGTCAGGCCTGCAAGGTACCTTGTTTGACCCTTAGTGATTCCGTTTTTCCCTCTAGATCTCCCAGAAATGTCCCACCCAAAAAAAGCAAAAACGTGAGAAATCCCAGAAGTGTCCCACCTCAAAACCGGAAAGAAAAACGAAGGAACAAAGGAAGAAAAAAACACGGGGAGAATCCCAGCCAGCACCCTCCGACTACTGCCCAGGGGGCAGTAGATAGAAATTTCCCAAAAACGACCATAGATAGAAAAAACTACTGTCAATTATTTTATCAGCGAGATGCCCATAGTCTAACTGCTGCTAGCTGCTGCTTACAACGGGGAGATGCCATAGCAGGCGTGGTAGCAATCAAGGGGTGGCAGCAAGTGCAGCAAGCGCCTCACAGCGTGTCACCCCGTGTCACCTGTGTGTCAGCCCGTGTCGCCCCCGTGTCGCCCCCGTGTCGCCCCCGTGTCACCGCGTGTCACCTGCGTGTTACCCCGTGTCTGTCAGTATGCTAGAACAACAGTAGATCGCTGCGAACAACAGTAGTTTTAGCGCGTCACCCCGTCTCGCCCCGTGTCACCTGCGTGTCACCCTGTGTCGCCCCCATGTCGCCCCCTTGTCGCCCCGTGTCACCTGCGTGTCACCCAGTGTCACCCCGTGTCGCCTGCATGTCACCCCGTGTCGCCTGCAAGTCACCCCGTGTCACCGTGTCACCCCGCGGGCTTGTCTTTTACTGTTTGGGACAACGTGAAACGAGTGTAGATAGGGGATCTACTGTTTTTTTTTTTTTGTTCGGAAGTACTGCCAAAAAACCGGAGAGAAAAAAACGGGGGAATTCCCAGAAATGTCCCACCCCCAAAAACAACTGAAAAACGGTGAAAATCCCAGAAATGTCCCACCCCAAAAAACCGGAAAAAAACGGGGGAAAGCCCAGAAATGTCCCTGTAATGTCCCTCCCTAAAAAACCGAAAAAAAAAGAAGAACCAACAACGGGGAACATTCCAGAAGTGTCCCACCCCCAAAAGACGAAAAATGCGGGAAAGCCCAGAAATGCCCCACCCCAAAAAAACGAAAAACACATACAACAGGTAAAATCCCAGAAATGTCCCACCCCAAACCGAACAAAAAAGAAGAAACAAACCTGGGAAAATCCCAGAAATGTCCCACCCAAAAAACCGAAAATCGGGGGAAAATCCCAGAAATGTCCCACCCCAAAAAACCGAAGAACGGTGGAAGGCCCAGAATGTCTCACCCCAAAAAGCCGAAAAACGGGGAACTCCCAGAAATGTCCCACCCCCAAAAACCGAAAAACGGGGAAACTCCCAGAAATGTCCGACCCCAAAACCGAAAAACGTGGAACATTGCTGAAATGTCCCACCCCAAAAAAAATGAAAAACAACAAAAGCAAAAACACACACACACACACACACAGGGGCAACATGGACGAAGGGCGGCGACCTCTGGTGGCCACCGATCTGTGTGGAGGGCCGTCCGAGTTCCAAGGTGGCCAGCGGGCATCTCTACGAGAAGCTGCTGGGCATCATGATCCTCTCCGCCGGCGGCTCAACTTGGGGGGTGACCCATAGAAAAAGAACCCCTCCTTTCAAGAAGGTTTTTCCCCCCCCCCCCCCTGTGGTAGACTACTTTGGTGGTAAACAACAAGGCCCCCCAGCAATTGGTGCCCTCCTCTACCGTTTCTTTTTTGGTTGGGAGGGTTCCCCGTGTCTAAAATAGACTAGAGAAGAAGTTGGCACCCTTTTTCTAACCTCTCTACTGGAGGACCTGAAGTGGAACCCCTCGCTGGTTTAGGGTGGTTTAGGGTAGGGGGTTGGGTTTTTGCCCTCCCGCCTGAATACCCCTAGCTCCGAAGAAAGCTGAAATCAAAACTCCCATTGATAAACAGCGCTGTCTGAATTCCCACTAAACTGGGCTTATGAATCGGGGATTCCGACTACTGGTGAGTGGCAACTGGTTGGGGGTGTTTGTTTGGGATCATCTTGCATCTTTGCAGCTAGCAGACAATGGACACAGAGTTGAACGTTGAGCAAGTAGCACGGCTGTTTCACCCGCCGGTTGCAGCTCTCCCTCAGAGATGGGCCAAGAGGGTAGGTCCCAGTTGGCTGCGGCCTGGATCATTGGACTTCCGGTTGCCTCTGTATAAGCGCCTCCGGGCGAGGATGAGCCGGCTGCCGCAGGCACTCTCGTGCACAATCTGAGAACGTTCCTCCGAGCCAAGCCTGGCTGCTGGGCGGCGATTTCAACGAAGAACCAGCAGACTCCTGGTTTGCCGACGTGGTTGCTGGGCCTGTGCTGAGGAGAACTTGACTGGTTCCTCACCAACAGGCCCATGGAGGTGGACACTCCGGCTGGGCTGCCCCTCAAGATCAGCGACCACAAAGTCCTCACCACCAGAGTTGCGAAGGCTCAAGAGATCCAGACTGTGACTTTCTCGACGGCAAGGCTGGAGTTCTGCAGGGTGTGACGAGGAACGGTTCCGTATGCTAGCGGTGGAAACTGGGGAGGGGTTGGACTTTCAAATCCAGTCACTGTTGGGGCAATCTCCATGTCTGAGGGTGCTTTGAGGGTGGGGCTGCAAAAGACTTGCTGGTGCTCAGTAGGGAATGACCTTTCGGGTGTTGGGAATGGACCTAGGGCTTCCCTTACAGGAAGTCATAAGCGATGGGTTATAAGGGGGCATTCCAACTCATTCCCAGCTGACCAGCAAGTAACGGGGGGTGCCAAATCCGATTCTTTTTTCGACCTGCATTTTCTTGCTGGGGAATGAGTTGGAATGACCTCTATAACCCATCCATCTTCTCTGGTTTCCTTGAAGAGAATCCCCAGGTACATACCCAGGTCATTCCCTACTGAGCACCAGCAAGATTAAGAATCCAAGGGCAGTATGCAAGAGACGTGACAAGGGGTTTGGTGTCTTTTCGAAGCGCCCCGACAGGGTATGCTCAGAAAGACTTGCTCCAAAACATGGGAGTGCCAGTGGTTCAGTGGATTCCACCTTCTCAACCCCTTGATTTGTGGGCTCCTTACTAAACTGGTTTCTTACCAAGAACCCCGCCAATTGTTTTTTTTGGTGGGTTCTCAATCCTTTTTGTTTGGTTAACCCTTTTTCTGTGAAGTGGCTTCTTAACGGCTCCGGCTCCGGGTTCCGGAAGGTTCCGGGGGGTGCTGTTGAGGCTAGCTGGGTTTGTTTTTCTTCGGGGACAAATGGCTGCGGGTCAAGACATAGGTACCCAAAATGGAACCCTGGCAAATAGAAACATGGACTAAAGCCTGAGGTCCCCTCGTGGTTTAAATTATGACCCATACCCAAATGGCCATGGGTCAAACCCCCGTACCGCCAGTGAACATCCCAATCCCCAGTGAAATCGGTTCTAAAATGGGTGGTGAATTCACCTATCCCAAAATGGGATCCAAAACGGTTCTGAACCAAACCCAAAATGATGAGTCAGCGAATCTCTTTGGCTGGGGATGGCGTCAGTTTCCCTTTAAAGCCACTACAACACAGGTACCCTTGAAAACAAATTATCCCCACCACTCGGGGGGGTCCAGCAGTCAAAATGGCTTCGGTTGTCCTGCTGGTTTCCCTTTAAAACCACCCCCAAAAAACAGGCCACTCCAAAAAAGGCGTGTGTTTTGTTTCTCGGGGTCCCCCCAAAATGGCTCCGGTGTTCTTTTCGGCTTCCCTATGACCACGAAGATGCTCGAGTCGGGAAGTTGGGAGCCTGCGCTGCGACGAGGTGCGGAACACCACGCAGAATCCCCTGCACTTCTGGTTCATCGACAACTTCCTGTCTCCGAGCTTCAAGGCGAGCGCATCGCGTCACCGCAATCGGGGCAATCGAAGCGAGCAGCGATTTTGAAGCGCTGGGGGGTTCGGTTTCGTCGGTGGTATTTCGAGCTCGGGGCTTCTGAGAAACTGGGCTTAGGTGTCCTTTTTGGGTGGCTTGGTTCAAAAATAGAGGGCCCTGGTTTACCCGGCAGTTAAATCATCTAACAGGGAAACCCATCTATTTTCTAAAAAGGACACCTATGGGCAGCAACCCTTCCACCAAAGTTCACGATGGTCAGCTGCAAGTTTAGAGTTTGTTTTTCACTTGCCTCCACGAGACATGAGTTGCTGACCAGCTAGCAGTTGCTGAGCTGTCGGCAAGATCGTTGTGAAAGTCAAACAGGCCTGGGTTTTGCAGCCAATCCATGAGGGGAGTGAACCAACGCCATCGCCCTCGAGGACAAAACAAACTAAACAAATGGGCCAAACCTGGGATCGGTGCGTTCGGGTCGCAGACTTATGAGCCCGCAATGTTTGGGCCGCAGGTGTTTTTGGGTGCCAGTCGGGGGGGTAGCATATTTTTTGGGGTGGCAGCTTGTCATGGTTGTTCTTGGGAAGCACTTTACTTGTTTTTTGTCGCTTATTTTGGTTGAACGGTTGAAATCCATCCACGAATAACTGCTAAAATATAAAACAAGCTTGCTCCCCTTCCAAGGCCAACCAAGCTGTTGCGCCCGGCATGCTCCGCTGCCGCGCAGGCGTTTATCCCACTCATGGCGGAGAGGCTCGCTCGGCCAGATGGGCCTGACTTCCCTTGGCTGTTTTCTGGTTCAAGAGGCAGGGAATGAATTGGAATGACCTAGATAGCCAAGTTGCCGTTTTTTTTTTTCCCGGTCACTGTTGCTGGTTGTTGGGGTAAAGTGCATGGGGGAGAAAAAAAAACAAAACAAAAACAAAACAACAACTGGCGATCCCGGGGACCTCCACAAACCGTCACCAATTTGGTTTCCTTTAGGGTAATGGGATCATCCCCAAAACCCTGGATCATTCCCATTCCCTGCTGAGCACCAGCAAGCTGAATCGGACGCACATCGGTAGCACAGATAGCTTGGTACATTCAGATTGCCTTGGCTGTCCCTGTGGGCTTGGCTATTGGAGATGAGCCCACGCCAAAACGGGGGATTTTCCTTTGGGTGTCCCTTTGAACAGGGCTCAGTAAAAGATACATTTTGCCCATTTCAAACATGGCTTTTTCAACACCAAAATAAAGGGAAACCACCATTTACAAGGCAATGTTCAGGTTTATAATGTAAGGATCCCTGTTGAATCCGCATTAAAAACAAATAGAAGAACAAAAACAAACAAAAACGGTGCAACTCCAAAAAAAACCAACGGGCCACCCACGTGGGTTGCTCGGGTTTGCTCTGAGGAAAAGTTGGTGCTGAGCCGAAGAAATCATTGGCCGGGTCACACGTCATAGTTTCAACTGGGAACAGGTTGGGCCCTTGACAGGTGCCTTGAGGGCCCTGCACCGCTTGAAGTAGACCAATGGCTGTGTCACCCGTGTCATGGTTTAGTCAACATCCATCCCTGAGATTTCTTTTCTGAGAAGGACAGGTCAGGGCGTGCACCACCAGGAGCTGGTTTTCACACATATTACATCGTCATGTGCGAATCAGGTACGACTTCAAGTACGACTTCGTGACCTACAAGTGGCCCTCCTGGCTGAATCCGCAGAGCCGCTCGGACGGAACGAGGCTCCCCGCTGGCGACCCGCCGGGCGAAAACAAAGAAGAGGGGGAAAAAACAACGCGGCCGTGTTGCGGGATGAAAGGCCCTGGTTTACAGCAAGCAAAAGAGGGGAAAAGCAAACGCCCGGAAAAAAGAAAGCATAAAGGCACGGCTTTCGGGCTGGAGGATGAGCACCTCCGTGAAGGATCGGGTTTGGTTGCTGTTGCAGTCTTTACAATTATGCATGGCTAAGTGGCGTGGTATTACATGGGTAAGTGGGATATATGATGTAACCGTGGCCAACCACTTGCTGGCTGTGAGTTGGCTGGCTGCAGGAGCTGAGTGTGTGCCTTTTTCCGGCGGGAACGAAGGCGGTGTCAAAATCGGTTGGAATCCCAAAGATTGGGTGGCTTCCCGGATGCTAAATAGCTCATGCTGTTGAATCTACTCAGAGGGAACACCACAAAAGGGTGAGCGGCCTGATGGATTTTGGGCTCCAACATTACCTGCTTCTCGACCCCTAAACATAGGTGTCCTGTTTGGTTGTTTTGGAGGAACAAAATCGATGGGTTTCGCTTCCTGGTTTCCCTGGTGGTTTCTTCTCATCTGGGAAACCCCTCTTGCCCCAAAAGGACAATGCCCCAGGCCTAAAGCAACTCCGGCTTCGAACCCGCTGGGCCTTGGGCCCTTTCTCAGCCCCTTTTTTGGGTAGAAAAAAGTCGGGTACCCCTAAAAAACCGGGTACCCTTATTCTAACCTCTCAAATCTGGAGGACCTAGAAGCCCTTCGAAAGCTGTTTCTGCAGGCCATGGCAGATGGCGACCAAAATAGCCCCTACCGGACGTCACTTAACCATTTGAGAGTCCTTGGGGGGGGGGCTGCAACAGATGTCGTTGTTCTTTCAATCGTATCTATGTCTATGTTAGTGGTTGATCAATATTCCGGGAACCCAAAATGACCATGGGAAACTGTTCCCATTTAGTGGGAAATCGCATGATTTTGACGGCTTCCCCCAATGGTCATCCCGTGTAAAAGACCTGTTGATTAACCCCCATACCTCATTTTCGCTCAGTAGCCATCAAATGCAGCCAAAATCCAGTTGGGAGTGGCAATACTTCTGCATGATGCGATGGTATGCATCAGCTTGCCCTTCAAGACCATATCTAGGTCCCCCAGCTAGGCGCCTTTTCTCACCCCGTTTTTGTTGCGAGGGTTGCCCTACTAAAACAGTACCCTTATTCGAACCTCTCAAATCTGGAGGACCTAGATATCCCGATTTGCTCTCGTGCCAAGGTGAGAAACAGCGCCTGATTTGGGCCTACAAGATCTTGTTCCTGGATGCCGTGGCTCCCAGAGTTTCGATGCGAAGCCACGAGAAGAACAAAAAAACCTCGGTGTCAGGCAAGCCATAGGCAACTCGGCTACCCAGAGGGTCTCTTGGTACCTTCTGAGGACGGCTGTTGGGGGGTAAAAAGGGTCTAAGTACATCCTTGGAAGGTGCTTGGACCCTCTGGGTTATAGATGGCAACACTGCGAGTATTTCTGTCTATATACCTTGCAGTTGTAGGTAGCAAAGGGAACCACAGTTTGAAGAGCCCGAATAAAAATGACTGGGTACCTATTATAGTAGCTTGTACCTGTACAATAGGTCGCCAAGGGCTTGCCACCCGATGTAAAAACCAAACGGAAAATGGATAGAAAGGTTGCCTGTAGTGGCGAAACGCCTGGGATCCAATGGGTTAGATGTAACATTTCCTGGTTACATAGAGTGGCTTCCCTTGAAGCAATGGGCTTGGATGTAGCAGAAGGGTTGCAAACTCCAAGTTTTCTATCGCAAATTTGTCGCACAGGGGGGCCTGTCAAATGTCCGTGCCCAGTTTACCAAACACCTTAGGCAAGTCATTGCCAGTTTACCAAATGTCGTAATTATTCAAAATGAGGGTAATATTTGACCTCAGCCAATTGGAGGTTTCTCAAAACGGGGGATCTCTTGCTTTATTATGGCTAGTTGGTAACGGAACTTTGGACTTTGACTTTTTGGGAAACAGTGGATTCTCCATTGCACCCACAAAAAGTAAAACTTCTTGCAGAGGGTCGACAGCAACCAAGCTTGTGGGTCGGTTGCAAAACGGAAAGGGAAACGCCCCATTTTAAAGGACTCCCGCTTGAAGAAACCTTTAAATGAAGGTTTGTTTCTGGGGGTCCCTTGTTTCAGGTGGGCGAAATTGCTACCCGAACATCGAAGGACAAACCCATCAGTTGGGTGAACGAGCGGCTCAAGACGTGGCACAGTCGGACCGGTTGGCTTTTTTCGACATCCCACTGGAACAACTCCACATTTTGCATTCTGGCAAACACTTGGGGGCAACTTCCAACACGACCCTAGGCATCACTGTATTTAGTGACAGTGGTTTCTGGGAAAATCTACTGAAAAGAACAGCTACTTTGGAATTCATCCATTTGCGTTGTGTTTATTTTCTCTTGCTGGTTTTAAAGGGAATCTATCACTACTGGACATATTTTCATTTTCTTCCAGGGGCGAAAAAGCAAATGGAAGAATTGCTTTTGTATTATTTCGAGAACACGAGCCAGGACATGAGCTGTTTTTAGGGTAGCTTTATTTGGTGCCACATGAAAGGGGGGCATGGCCTGTCAAAACCGGGGGAAGGGGGAATTGTGTCATCTCCTTGGTGCAGAAGTGTTTTTCGAACTGCGAATGGGATGCTCCCAGTCTTCGGGGCCCCGGGGGCACGCGTGAGTCTCAGGTGCTCTTTCCGCAGGATGTGCCCAAGATCATCTTCATCGATGCCGACCAGGAAGGGCGGCCTATGCTTTTGCCGACCAGGAATCGGCGTGTTTTTTTTTGCGGTTTCTGGGAAACGCTCCGGGAAACAAAGGAAGTTCGAACGTCTGGTTTCTGGGGGGGTATGTGTTGAACTGCTAGCATTTGTTTGGGCGTAGCGTTTAACTTTCTCTAGAGCGGTTCCCGGAGTTAAATTGTTGGAGCTTTTTGCGTGGCAGGTCCCCCCTTTTCAATGGAAGTGCAGAGAGCGTAGGTGTCCTTTTTGGTTGTTTTGGTAGAAAAATAGATGGCGATTCCTGGTTTACCTGGTGGTTTAATCATCTACCGGGGCCATCTATTTTCTCTAAAAGGGCACCTATGGCAGAGAGGGTTTGGGTTTGACTATTGATGTTTGGACAGAGCTGGTTTCTGTCAGGCAAGTGGGTGTTGCTAATTGGGAATCAGACCAGGTCCCCAACATGGCGTAACGGTTTTCCCAAGACCTTATCCATTTGCCGGTTTTCTTTCCAGATCGCGCCTTCAAGTCATCTTGTTGCAGTTGGCTGTGAGTTTGAATAAGGAACCACCTCAAAAGTGGCTGGCGGATACTTATCCCCACCTAAATGATGTCCACTACAGGCTGAGTGAGCGGGATCTTCTTATGTTTGCATAAGCACACTTGCATGGGCATTTGTCCCACTTGGCAGCCGAAAGCATGGCAACAACCCTCCCTACTTGGGGGAATGTAGCTGAATTTTTGAGCAACCTTGGGGTTGACAGGAGGGTCAAGTGGGGCCTAAGTAGGGGTTGCTAGCTAGCTAAGCCCCAGCCCATGGAAGTGTATTTCCAAGTTGTTGACATCTAGGTCCCCCCAGTAGCCCTCCCCTACTAAAATAGACTACAGGAAAAAGGGTTCCCTTATTCTAACCTCTCTACTGGAGGACCTGGACATGTGCCATGGTCAAATGACCCGCTCCTTTGCTTGGGGTGATGAGCAAAAGTCCCACATCGATGGTCATGGCTCTCTTCATAGGGGCGTGTGTTTGATGAATCACCATTTGCTTGTCTTTGAAGGGACAGCAAAAGGAAAACATATGTGTCAAAACTAAATACCCTTTTAAAGGAACAGCTCCCAGTACCACAGGAGATACGAGCTGCACATATTCTACAAATATATAGACACCCTTTCAGGCCAGGAAAATCCAAGTGCCCCAGAATTCAGGCCTTTTTGGGAAAAGTAGTTTTGTTGGCATGTGGACTGAATTCTTGCCCTCGGACTGATTTGGTCGTTTCGGTCGCTACACACAAGGAAGATATGGTTGGGGCTCGAGGTAGGCAGACAATCCTCCGGCGATTGTCGGGAAAGTGCCTCCCCAAGTCATCGTTGCGAGCAGGGTGGCAACCCTGCCCACTAACGCGGATTCGGCGCACAGTTGCCGCCTTTTCAGGCGAGCATTGTCTGCAAAAAATGACTATGGAGGCCAATGTTCTGTGAGTGCACGGGAAAGTCTTTCTGGTGGAAGTCCCGCTATGCGGTAATTCCGTGTAATTATCACAGACGGTTATTTCTTCCACAACTCTTTGCGCAATCACCCATGTCACCAGACCAATGCACGATTGCGCTTCTTATGCCCCCCTATCTGACTCTCTCTCTCGCTCTCTCTGTCTCTCTCTCTCTCTCTCTCTGTCTCTTTTTCTTTATTTATTTCTTTCATTCATTCAGTTTAAACTGCTTAGTTGGCCACCATGGTCACCAGCTTACGTTCCACGCATCACCATGGGTATAACTGACGGCATACTAAGGTTGAAGCTCCAAGCTGCCCTACACCCTCTAGAAAACGGCTTGGGTGCGATTTGTGTGGATTTGACCTTTGCTTTTAGTAATCTGGTAGTACTCTTTTTCATATCCTACAGGTTGGTGGATCCACAGAAACGCGTTACCTCCAAAGCGTTTTCTAGATACCCCACGGGATCCACAGGTGGTGCGGGCGGATGTGAAAGAGCTCTGGGAGCTCGATCTTAAGGCGAGGGGCGGAAAACAAAGACAGAAAAAGGGGGGGGGGAAAACAAAAACGCCCCCCCCCCCCCATCCATTTGGGTTTTGGTTGTGTGTGTTTTTTTTCCCCGAGTTGCCACCGATTTGTTTGTGTGGCTTTTACAGGGAAACCCACATATTATGGAGTTGTTGGTTTTTGGAGGGTATCATTTTTTTTTGCGTGACTTGGGTTTGTTGGGTGTTTGGGAGGGAACACTCCCTCCCACGTGGCCATGGCAGTTAGAGGGTTTGTTGAGGAAGCTGATCTTCCAGGTCCCCACAATGCTATGTTAGTGGGGGGAAGTAGCCATTGTTTTTGATTGAAAGCGAACCCACAAGGAACACCGCATTTATTTTATTTTATTTTTTGGGGGGGGGGCTCCAAAAAGCGACACACCCGCCTGGACCTGCACCCGGGCCTGCTTTTTCAACCATGTCCGAAATCCCAAGTGTCCAAAGAGCAGTTGGGGTGGGGCTGCTGGCATTTGGGTTTGTGGGTTTGTTGACGGTGCCATTTCGGGGTTGAAACAGCGAGGAGGCTATGGGATCCAAGTGCGTTCCAGCACCACCCATATTTGCAAGATGGTGGAGCCAAGGAGCTGGAGTTTGGGTTTGTCATCTAGGCCCCTAGTAGTGCCCTGTTACCCTTTTTTGGGGGAGGGTTCCCCTAACTAATAGACTACAGAAAAAGGCTTATTCCAAACCCTCTACTGGAGGACCTACTCATTTGTTTGAGGGGTGGTTTCACAGGAAGATCAAGCTACATTTTGTGTTTCTTTTTGGGGGGGAAGGCCTCCGTTTTACGTCAAACCCATTGCCTGCATGGGTAAGCACTGATCTTTCTGACCGAATTAATCTTGCAGAAGGTAAGACGTCTTTTTTGGTGGGGAACCCTCTTTTTGTTAGGTGTTAAAGGGAAGGCAAAGAAACACCAACACTTTTTGCGGGGTTCTGATTCAAGACATACCCATTTGGGTTCCTATAGAAACTCTCATTTGCCGTGGATTAATTTCCCCGCTCGGGTAACCAGGGAAAGAGTCTTTAAACAAGCTAGAGAATCTGAAGGAACGTAATTATCTAGGATGGGTCCACTAGAACCTCCCCAACGTCCTTTATTTGGATAGTAAGCAAGGTTATAGCCCGCATAAGCGGCCTACTGTGGCAAGTGCTGTATAGGTACGTACCATGGTGGAGTATGAGGGGCCAAATAATTGCAGGCCTTATTCCCCCTTGCACGTGCAGATCTACAGCTCCGTGCTTCCAGTTTTGCCACTATTATTGGCAAGCTTTCGGCATTTCCTCGAAGTGTTACATTGGCTATGCATGTTAAGATTTGGAGCCATCTTAGAAGCGGCTTTTGTCACCTATACTAGGCAATCCTTCTGCATTTCCCTCCTCTACTAAGTATTGCATTGGCAACCGAAGTTTGATGCTCACATTTTCGGGTCCCTCAAAGTTTACGGAGTCCCTTGGTTAACCTATGGCAACTGGATGCCAGGGGGCGTTAAGTAAAAGCCCTTTGCAGGGCGGTTTGGCCGAACCCCCTGGCATTTTAGTTGGCTAGTTGTGTGTGTGTTTCTCAGAATAGGGGGCAAGCAACGCATGATGGGTTTGCTTTTGGTGTCCCTTTAATGAACCATCCCCAAAAAATCAGTCAAACAAAGAAAACTTGCATGTTGTTTTTTCCCCGCAGAGCCCTAATGTTGACCCAGGATTAATAAACCCGTCCCATTATTAAGGGGGTGTTCCCTCCGAAATTGATGACTCCCCACTAAAATAGGATACCCCCCTGTTAATCGACCAGGGAATAATTAATCCGGGGTTAACATTAGGTGTGGCTTGAAGCTAGGATGTTGGTTGGTTTCTGCCCCGCGCGAGGGCAACGTGTACGGCTTCGTGCCCATGGGCGACTCCAACCCCGACACGGAGGCGCGGCTTTCAGGATGATCCCTCCTTTTGAAAGGGTGGCTTCGCTGTTGTTGGTTTCTAAATGGCTGCGGGTTGTCAAAACCGTTTTGGGATCCCATTTTGGGATAGGTGGCTCAACTTTCCCTGTGCGTTTAAGGCGCATGCAAGTGCCGATGTCCGGCAAAGCACCCTGTAGCTTGTTTGCGTTCCCCTATTTAGCATGCAGCCTTGTACTTGCATGCGAAGTGAGCTTCCTTTCTGTGGTTGTGCTGGATCTCAGGAGCCCTCGAAACTTCCCGGCAGCAGCCACCCCACAAAAGAAACGCAAGCACAACACCAACACGTAAGAATACCTTGGTTGACCTTCCAAGCAACCTCACAAACCTCAGTTGTTCAGTGGCACCAATTCTTTTTCCCCTTTTTTTGGGTGGCTGCCCCACTAAAAATGGTCTTCCCCAAACAGGGTTCCCTTTAGGGTCACTGAACTGAGTACCCGCGTCGTTTCTCTAAAGCAACATGCAGGTGGGCTTTCATCTCGACCGGTCTTGCGGAAGCCAGGGCTTCCGCTTCTGGAAGCAGGGCTATTGGAAGAGCCATTTGGGCGAGAAGCGGCGGGCCCGGCTTCGATTTATTTTTCTGCAGCGGCGGCTGCGGGTTCTCTAGGGGTAGCTTCCATGTCCATTCTTTCCAGGGATCCTTCTTTCTACAAAACCTCCGGATGCCCAGGGCAGAACGATGGTTGAAAAGAATGGCGAATCTACCCCTAGAGGTTAGGTTACCTCTTGGTTTGGATTGGTTTTGATTCGGGTTTCCTCTCTTGACTTTCTTTGATTAGTTTCTCTGCGCTGAAAGAGCGGACCTGCGTGATCGCGATTGGCGTGATTTGAAAGGGAACGCCAAAAAGGAAAGTAGCTCTTTTGGGGGTTCCCCACTTTTGAGACCCCACATAGCCCCAGACCACCGGAACCTTTTCAAAGCTGAAAGGAAAATGGCTGGTTACTGGAGAGGTATCTAATAGACGTGGTTTGGCGAGTCGCCATTACTGGGCTGCTCAAAGGCGAGCAGCACTGGAAACTTTGGTGCATGTTGCTTGGATGTTAGGACTTTAACCTTTTGCCAACTAATGAGGTTTCCGTATTGAACCACTAAAAGTTGAACTTTTGGCAAGGGAGCAGAAAGCAACCGAGGAAAAGTTGACTGCCATGTTGGATGTTTCTTTGGGTGCCGAGGAATCAGCTGCGGTTCATGGATTCCTCGTTTCTCACAGCCCGGTTCGGCTGGCAGAGGTCCATAGCCTTGATCATCCACCCTGAAAAATCGGAGGGCTTTGAAGCTGATTTTCCTTCTTCAACCAAGAGCACAATCAAGAAGAGCCCTGTTTTTGCGAGCTCTTGGAAGACCAAGGTAGGTGTCCTTTTTAGGTTAGTTTATAAAGAAATAGATGGCGCTCGTTCAGACAGGGCCATCTATTTTACCACAAGGCCACCAATGGTCGTGTCTCTTTGGTGACGCGGTAATTACTCTCTTTAAGGGTAATCAATAGAGAGAACACACGGCGATACTAGAGTTCCAGTCAGACCAGGGATCGAACCTCGCTTTGTTACCTGGTACCTCTAAAGCCAACTAGGAATTCTACCAGAGTTGATGGTTTTTCCTGGTTACCCACTAGAGGAGTCTTAAGTAACTGGGATTTTCCCCCTTTTTTTGCGTTTCCGTCCATCGAGAAGGACGGCTTTCCATACGGTGGGCTCGGGCTTTTTCTCTGCGCCAGGTACCACATCTCCGCCTTGTTTGTGGTGGACCTCGTGGAGGCATGAGCCTCCTTGCCTCCGGACGTTACGGCCACGACTTTCAGGCCACAGCTTTTGCGGGCTCCTTAAGAGATCTCCATGTCGCAACCAGTTGAAACATGGTGTTTTTTGTTTATTAGTCAAAATACAGGAAAACCACCATTGACAAGTTGCAATGTTCAGGTGTAGAATGTAGGGATCCCTGTTGTTGCGGGCTACTGAAAAGCTTGTTTTGAGCAATGAGGGAGGGTTCCAAGGCTACTAGGGGATACTGTTGACCCCGGATTAATAAACCCCGGTCTATTAATATGGGGGTGTCCCCGGTTTTAGCTGGGGTTTATCACTTTTGGAGGGGAACACCCCCCATATTAATAAACCGGGGGTTTATTAATCCGGGGCCAATATCACCTGGACATGCATTGTATTTCTTTTCTTGCCACCTGGACTTTCAATGGGCCTCTTGTTTCTGCAGTCTTACCTCTTTTGGTTGTAGCCAAGGGATTGAAACAGGGCTCCGTGGTCCACTTTCGAGGGCGAGGGGGCATAGTTGCTACCATGTCCTCTTCGGAAACAAAGAGTATTGTCAATGGATCATGTGTCCAAATAGTTTGTGGTGTTGGCTTCAGGTTGGTTTCCTTCTAACATCAATTTCGGCACACACACACACAACAAGTGGGTGATCTGTAAAAGGCCCAACTATAGAAACTCTTGTTCAGCCAGGTTGATGGACTGCTTTCTTGTTGGAAAGACGATGTTTGGCTCAAGTGTGCAAGCTCGAAACCAGTCTTCCTTTCAACACGATCCCAGCGGATCCAGTTATCCATATAGTAGGTAACCCGCTGTATTTTGGCCTTTAGGTTTTACACGATGGTTTTTCATGGTCACCTACAAAATACTAGTGGGAACTGGAAACACAGAGATCAAGGGGTTGCCTCAATCTTGCCTTCCCCCCACATATGGGTGTGTCTTTTTTACGGGACCCCAACAATGGATGTGTTCCTCTTCGTGTCCAGATGTGTCCAGTTAAAAATCCGCACAAAAGGGTAGCCCTTAAAAATGGACGGACGTATATTTCTCGCCAGTTCCGACGGACCTCCATCGGCGAGACCTTGCGGGGTGTTTACAACCAGGCGCGTGAGCTGATGGCTGCCAATGCCGTGGGTTCGGCGCTTATTTAGTTGGATAGGGAACCGCTTCACAAGCATAGGTGTCCTTTGTTGTTATAGATTGGTTAGACAGGTGCTGAGTTTTAATGAACGGCTTCACAAGTGGTTGGTGTCCTTTTGATCGGTTAGTTTGGTTGGAAATAGACGGGTTCCCCTGATTTAGATTGGTTTTAAGCCATCCATTTTCACATTTGTTCCAGAAAGTCACCTGTGTTCACAAGTGGTTGGCGGGCATGAATGGACACCTAAAGATGTCCAGCAAAGTTTTGGAGTTTTCTCAAATTCATATCTATATCAGTAGTCTCTGGTGAATTTGGGAGGGACATGCGGGGGACGCCGTACAGCCTCATATTCTGACATAGCTTATGTGTTTTGTTGTTGTTGAGGTTGAAAGGGGGGGCTATTTTGTCCACAGTTTGGTAAGCCGGATGTCATAGGAGAATCTCCAATTCTGGTTGTTTCCTTTGAAGCATCACAAACTGCTATCCCGACGTTTGTCGCACCCATATACTGTGCGTTTGTGTGAGTGTGGTGTTTGGCTGAGGTTTATATTTGGGTGAGGATTTCATGGTATCTCGGGAAGGGATGTTTACTGGGCACCCACAGTTGCAAAGGTCAACCAGGGTTGTACCCGCTGTTCGACAAAATCAAGTACACCAGTGTTGTGATAAAACCATGAATACTCGGAACGCCACGAACTGGCTGCAGGATTTTGCCAATCCACGGTCGGTCGCACCCTTCAGGAAGTGAAAGCCATGTTGAGTCCGTTTGCTTTCCTTTGAGAAAGTCAGCTATTCAATTGGGATTTTCTCATTCAGAGGACCCAGATAAGGAGTAGCAAGAAAGGGGTATGACCTGATTTGAGGGAAACCTGGACTCGGTAACGCATTTAGATGCGGTGGTTTGGGGGCTGGCTTGGGTTTTGGGGTCCAAGCCAGCAGATCGGGTACCACACGAAAGTGGTCGGTAAGCCAGGCTAGAATCGACCAAGTACATGGGAAGTGGTTAAAACCAGGGGTTATTGCCCACTTACATCTCCGATCGGCCCTTTAAGTAAAGCCATCCATGTTCCTTTCAGGTTTGGTCTAGGGATCCACGCGTCGAGCCCGCCGAAAGCTGGCCAGTTGAGCCGGGATCCCAACTCCCTGGCGAACTTGGACCAGGCGCCTGGCCGGACGGTTCGGTCGCCCCGGTCGCCCCGGTCACCCCGGACCTCCAGCAAAACTGCTTCCTCTTGTTTTTTTTGAGGGGGGGGGTCCCTTGGAAATCGACCAAGGCAGAGAGTGCCCTTTTTTTCTCGTTGGTCTCAGGGCCTTTGGGGGTGTTCGGTTGCTTTTTGTGCTCCGCGGAAAAAAAAGGTGACCAGCGCAGTCCAGGGTAGCTGAAAACGAGGATTGCAATATGGCTCCCGATGGCTATCAAGCCGGTGAAATTGCCCCATGAGTCGCTGGACAAACCATTTGATGCACCTTGGGGTGGTTGACCCCCTTGAAAAGGAGGCGTTCTGCACCTTTGGGGGTCTCGTTTATCCCAGCGGGTGGAGAGGCATGGGAAAAGGCAAGGATGCCAGTCCGTCCACATTCTGGCATGCCTAGCATTTTGAAGCGGTCATAGGCAACCCTTCAGTATGTCTAGCAGGTTTTACCATGGATGGCTTGCAGTGGTTACCTACTATAGTGTCGTGGTGGCAGCATGGTTTTTCCCAGGGCTTCCAGGCATGCCACTAAGCTAAACTCCTTGCCACCCTATGGGTCCGATCGATGGATGTTGGGGCCACGTGTGTTCTGAGACCCCATTCAGCAACTCGGGGTGCGGTATGGCTTCAGACTCCGAATCTCCGCGTAGCAAGCCCCGATCGGAAGTGAGCCCCGGGTAGCTCCGAGGACTTGCCCAACTTCGCGCAGCACCAAGTGCCCATCTTCACGCTGCGCGGCCCCAAGGCGAAGCGAAGCGAAGCGAATCACCAGGAAAGACGGGAAGACACCCAACGGGAGGCTCGGCAGCTTGGCACATCTCGGCACTTTTTGTGTGTGTATTCTGAGGTCCGAACTGGTGAAAAAGTCCTGGGATGGGATCTTGAAGATGGGAGCTTGAACTCGGGTGGCGTGAAATTTGGTGGGTGCCTTTCCCAGGTCATGGGCTTTTCAAAGTCCAAATCGGTTAGCCCCCAGTGAACATCCGATTCAATCCAACCACTAAAATAGGTAACCTAAAATTTGGGTGGTGAATTCACCAACCAAAATGGGATCCCAAAACGGTCTTGACTCACAGCCACATCACCGCGCGGCGGTTTTGGCAGAACAGGCCGACTCTTTTCCGAGGCCGACTGAGTGGCTGTGGTGTGAGACCTGGTGCTCTCAGGACTGCAACTTGGCTTCGGGGAGTTCGCTGTGTGGAACCTCCAAAAGTCATGATCGGCTGAATGGAAACCAAGTCGCTGTTTGCGTTCAGGGAATCACCCACGTGAGTAGTCGGGAACGTTTCAATGAAAACCAGGAAATTGCTCAACTGTCGATTTGGGCAAATCCAGTGCGCCCCTGTTCAAGTCGCTGTTTGCGTTCAGGGAATCACCAAATTAGGTGAGTAGTCGGGATGGGAATCTCACTTTGGTATCACACAAATCCAAGTTTTTGACAGCCGTGGATAACCCGGACCCCCCCCCCCCAAGCCCAAAGGACAGCTTTTAGGCAACAGGTCGAAGGAGGCCAAACGGCCAGATGTCGAATAGGGCAACGTATTTAGCCAAATGAAGCCTGGCTGTGAAGCAATCAAAAGTGGACAACATCCGCTTGATGTCCACCAAGAGCCTTAAGTGCTGGCTCGGAGGGGGAGGTCTTCAATGACTTGACGCCTAAATGCCGCATAATGCCGCTATCGCAGGCCTTCCAAGGGCTGTCAAATTGGCCCGAAGTAGCTGCGAGGAGGTCACTTGAGAAGCCATTGAACCGCCATTGGGAGCAGGGGTTCCGGTCAAAAAGCCGGCTGAATGTGGGTTGAAAGTGTCCTACAACCCCGATCCAATTGTTCTGTCTTGGATATATTTCTTTTTGTAGCCCGCCGGGTTCTACTAAAGACTGGGCTCCCATTCGGTTTCAGATTTCACCTTTTGGCCAACATGAACGAGGTCAAGAGTCGATGGGAGTCACCACTGTGGCATACGCCTGGCACGACCGATTCCAGCTCCAACTCACTCCCTGAGTTCCTGGACTTGGCGCAACTTTTCGAGAAGTACTGTGGGTGGAGGAATCCACTTCGCCCCACCGAAGAAACCCTGGTTTCGGATGACTCCCCCTGCAAATTCCAATCAACACCGTCCCCAACCATGGCCCCAGAGTGGTGCGAAATGGATTTTGCAACCACCCACATCATGTTATTGGCAAACAAGTTTGCCAATAAGGCGTGAGCTGAAGCAGTTAATTCCTGCCACAAGAAACCATCTCCCCAACCTCCCCGAACCCGCAGGGCCTTCAACTCGGCCTTACGTAAGCTATACCGGCCCATGGCGGAAGCTGTAACGGTTTTCCAAAATCGAACCCGGGGAGTGATTCCAGTGCTTCAAAAGGTTTATGTCATATAGACATAAGGAAACCAGGTCTTAGGTTGTACATGATGTTTCCCCTGACCTGCAGCACTGTCCAAAAATCATGGAAGTGGACAGGAGGCCGCACAAAAGGACAGTAGTTTTTAAAACTCTCCTGTCAGCTTCTATGATTGTTGGAGGGAGGGTTGTAGGCGAAGGAAATGACTCTTGGTTCATTCCAAGTACGACCTCCTCTGATTGGTTCCCCAGTTTGACACCTGCATATTATTTGATCGGCCTAGTACAACATCCAGACAAAGGCGCCCTTCCCTATGTCCCCTTTGTGATGTGTACGTTGTGCAGATTTTGGGGTGAGTTGATTGATGGTTTTTCTCCTGCTACTTGCGTGGCGCACGCAAAGCTTCAAAGCTTGGGAGTGTCGCAGGAGACCAAGAAGCAGGCCAAGACGATTGACCTTTGCCAAAATCCTTTGACCAAGGACAGAGTGCCGATTTGTGGCTTTTGATATTCACCGTTGCTGGCAAGTGTTTAGGATTTTTGTTGTGATGGGTTCTGTTCAGGTTTAGTATGGGGCTGCAAAAAAAAAAAGTTGTTTGATACCACACCAAATGTAAAGTTTGATCGTCTGACATTTATTTGATGCCCAAGAGGATGTTCCCAGGAAGCCTTACCCCTGAAGTCAGACATGGGAGAAGTGATCAATCAGCAAATGTGGCGCGTAGCGCAATGCGTGCAGCTGAACTGAAATGCGTGTGTGTGTGTGTGGCTGTTTGTTTGTTTGCTTGTTTGCTTGCTTGCTTGTTTGCTTGTTTGCTTGTTTGCTTGTTTGCTTGTTTGCTTGTTTGTTTGCTTGTTTGTTTTCTTGTTTGCTTGCTTGCTTGTTTGTTTGTTTGCTTGCTTGATTTGATTGATTGATTATTTTATTGATTGATTGACTGATTGATTGATTGATTGATTGACTGATTGACTGATTGATTGATTGATTGATTGATTGGTTGATTGATTGATTGATTGATTGATTGATTGATTGATTGATTGATTGACTATTTGAGTTTGCGTTGTTATGTTGTGTGTTTGCCTGTGTTCTTGTGTGCTTGTTTGTGCGCGTCACCATTGACCCCATGTTCAGGGTTGTGACACTGGGCTTGCCTCAAAAAGGTGACCACCCACAAGTTTGTAAGGTACAACGAAAGGAAACCTGAGTTAATTTGTACGACATCTTAGAGCCTGTTTGAACTTGAGGGGAACCTGTTTGAACTTCAGGGGCGACCAGGGCAACAAGTTTTGCACAAGTACCCAAGCAACTGGGGGGCATTCACCCTGTTGTTTTTTTGTTGAACGTATTTTTAGTTGTTTGTTTTTCCCGGGGGGGGGGGCGATTCATCCAAGTTTACTATTTGCAGGGGATCAGATGCCATGAGGCATTAGACTTCGGAGGAGCCAAAGATCGTCATGGCGAAGCGAATCATTTCGGAGTGGCAGACGTGACTCGACCAAACTATGGGTCTGTCCTTTTTCCCGGCCCCTTGAAGTGGTGATGTTCCTTTGAGTTGCCCTCTACAACCAAAAGACCCCCGCATATTTGACTAGTGACTGATCAGGCACAAGAAAGAATGGCCGTTGGCCCCAAAATAGCCCAAGGGAGGTAAAGCGGTTGACATGTTGATACCATTAGATCTTGAGTCCTGGCTGGAACTTCACTTGGGGCTTGAGGAAATGAGTCTTCTTTCCATGGTGCCTAGTTGCTTTCTTTTTTGGGTTCATCTCTCATCGGATGACAAGTTGTCATTCAGGTCCATTCATTGTGGAATCCCATCCGGAGGGTAGGTACAAGGGGGGTGGATAGTTGAGAGCCCCTTTCGGGCTCCTTGGGGTTTTGTAGGCCTTAGGGAACGTTAGGGACCCACCCCCCCTTGGACCACCCCCCAATGCCCCAAATTCAACCTCCCCACGTCTCAATCATGCGAAGCAGCCGCACTCAGCAAAGGCTTCTTACGAGCTCATGATGCAGGTCCGAAGACTCGGGGCTTTCCGGTGTTTTGGGTGTAGGATTTGCAGACCCCTTGTCTTCCCCAATACAGCAGTTTCGAATAGGCAGAATCGAGACAGGGAGAGAGAGAGAAACGAATTCCCGACTTTGGGTTACAGATCAGGTGTTCAATGAAAGTACCGATTTCCATTCAACAATTGCAATTCAACTGCGATTTGGTCTTTGGTGTGACCAAATCGCCTCGCCCATTTCGAAACTAAGGGCTGTTCCATGAAACCTATGTCACGGCGTCTTGCTAGGTACCACGATGAGGTGCAGCGCTTGCAGGAGACGGCTCGATCTGCCTCCGTTTGTGGGCTGGGATCCATTGGCGAACTTCTCACCCCGGAACCCAAAAGGAATCAGAGGCTATGCTCGGAGGGTTCTTGCAGAGGGGGCCGCTTTCAGGGCCACATGTTGTGCGTGTGTTTGTGCGCATGTATCTCAAAATGACTCCCTCCCAGCCAATTTCAGGTCTTTCATGTTGGACCGCGTTCAATACTATCATAGAAAGTTGTTGTTAATTTCATAATCCTGTGACTGTCTTGGGTTCCATAGTATTGAAAGTGTGTTCACCCCCGCAATACTAAACTAGACTTGGCAATGCTGACCCAGCCCAGACCGAAACCAAGCCCCCCAACCCAACCTATCCAACGCTTCCCTTTCCACTAAAGAGGCTCCAAATCTTGAAGTCGCGGGCGGGGAGGGAGCCCAAATTCGCTCTGACTAAGCCCTTGATACGGCCTTATGCGTTCCCTGTGACAAATTGTTTGGGAGTTGTTCGCAGTGTCAAACAGCAAGGACAGACGTTTGCGCATGAGGACATGGTTGTTGTTGGGAAACATTTTACATGCTTGCTGATTGTATTTCATTCATTACAATCCAACCACTCAACTGCTATTGTATTTCTTTGCTCCCCTTCCAACGTCAACCAAGAGGAGTTCCAATTGTGGGGCGTTCGTTTTGGTCGGGCGCCTGCTTCAGGGCTCCCGAATTTGGGAATGGACTAGGTCCCCCAGCTAGGGGCCCTTTATAACCCTTTTTTGGTTGGCAGGGTTCCCCTACTAAAATAGACTACAGAAAAAAGGGTACCCTTATTCTAACCTCTCTACTGGAGGACCTAGTGGACAGTGTCTGGATTGTGCTTTGAAGAGAAGGCAAGAGGAAACGGATTTTGAGGCAGGTGCGCCACAAGCAAATCCCTGCATTTGGCGTGGCTTTCTGGGTAAAGCTTTTTTGTCCCGAGGTTTGTGACATACCGATCTGGCATTCATTGCGCTCATTTGGACACAAACCCAGTTCGAGTGTCTATCTATCCACTAGCAGGGGAATACGCCCTTTATATAGCAAGGCTCCTTAAAAGATGCATTTTGCCCATTTGAAACATGGACACCACCATTGACAAGGCAATGTTCAGGTGCATAATCTAAGGATCCCTGTATAGTGGTGTTTCTACTTGGTGGTTCCCAGCCCTGCCCTGCCAGTTTTGTTGTGTTAAGGATTAGTTTCCACTAAACCACTAAAAATTAGTTAAACGGTTTACAGATCCGGCAACAGCCCAGTTTACAGTGGCAGTGTATCCCGTAAAAAGCTGGGGAAGTGGTTTGGGGTTTGTGAATGCCAGGAGCAGTTCCAGTCCGCAGCAGTTCCCACCAGTGGCAAGGCACGGGGCGAGTGCGCGGGGTTGCCCGGAATAGTGGTCCCCCTCCAATGGTTGGTTTTTGGGCTTCCCTTCCATTAAATCCAAATGAAACGGGGCTCCAGCATTTAAAAAAAAACACGCGTTTTCCCGCAAGGGCTTGCCAGTGCTTGAACAGAACAGGAAACCCTGATATTGCGTTTTTCCGCGTTTTGAGGCTTGTAGTCTTCTGGATGCGGGAACTTCTTGGCAAGCCCAAGCAAAACTAAAGCAGATTAGAGAAAACCAACAAACACCTCGAGAAGCCAAGACACGAAACAACCTTGAGAAAGTCACACATGTCATGGAAAAGTCTTTGGAAACAGCTTATGGTGGAAGAGATCTGAAAATACAGTTAATTTGTGTTTGTTTTTGTTTTGTGGGTTTCTCGAGTTTTGTTGGTGTTCATAAGTTGTGGTGCTGCTCTTCTTTTGTTTGTCTCTCGGGTTTGTTTGGCTTTCTCAAGTCGAAAATTATATTTGACGTCCTACTTGGTTCAATTCATATTCTGATTAAATGTAAGACTTCTATTTAGTACTTAAATTAACTAGAAGACATGTCCAGCTTGTTTTTCCTTACGATGTTCTATTTAAACTGTAGTTACAGTCTGACTAAAATCCGAGATACGTGTAAGGAAATTCCTATTTCAGATCTGATTCAGAATATGAATTATAATTGAACTACTTGGAAGAAGAAACAACCAGCTTGTTTATTCTTACATTCTAGTTAGACATGATTAACATCTAATTAGGTTCTACATACATTCTAATAAAAAGCTATACAGGGAAATGAACTCCTAAGTAGAACTGGACGGAATTCCTGCTTAAACATTCATGCAACATGATGATTCTATTTAAACTCCAATTGAACTCACGAGTGGCAAGAAGTCCTATTCGACATTGGAGCTAAATAAGAGTTCTAACTAAAGTCCAATTGAAGTCCTACTTGGAAGGGAAGTACTCTTTGAAGTCTATTTCAAAATAGGATTACAACATGATGTTTGTCCACTTGAAATGGAAGTTGCATTGTCCATGGTCTTTGCTGTGTTTTTTTCACTCCGTCTAAGAGGCTTGCAAATTCGAAGAATCAACGAGCTTGTCTTTCCGTATTAGATTCCATGTAAATCCTAATTAAAACTATACTTGGAAAGGACATCCTACTTAAATTCTAATTCGAAATATTGTCAAAGTTGAACTACAATTGAATCATGACTTAAGCTTAAAGCCTTGTATTGCAACACTGTAAACCAATAGACTAGACACTACATTTCCTTGAGAGTGTGCATTAGTTGTTCACTTCTTCTAACGGGCAGGCAAATTAGAAGACACAAACAGCCTACCTTTCCAAACGGGATTCTATTTGAATTCTAATTAACAATTTAATGCCAAACAGGAATGAAAAGACAGATGCTAAGATGATGGCAGCTACTCTGGCTTTTGAGTGAGCAGCCGAAACTAACAGCATGTTGTAACACTCCATGTATAGGACCCCTTGAGTGATTCAAACTTGCAGATACAAACACTCTGCAGCACAGCAAACGTACAAGTTGCTCAAGATGTCAAACCTCAGAATCAGGAACAACAAGTGCACTAATTACCACAGTCATTAAATATCTGTTTGAACGGGCTTCAACCCTTCTGGTGGTTCAAACGGGGTGATTAAAATACGCCTTTTATTTTCGCTTGGATCGTGATTTGGAACATATCCGTTTCGGGTGATTGACATCTCAGCTTGGATGCTCAGCTTGGGCACAAAGGAAGCTGGACCCTGGACCCCCATTTTTTTTGCCAAAACAGAACGCCCCGGCAGTACCAAGGCAGAAACCACAGGTCTGTTGTCATCCAGGTGGGTTTAAGCCGTATCTTTCGGAAGATGCTCAAACGGGACATATCATGGCGAGACTAAGCTGGCCTTTTTCACGACTTGTTGATCTTGATTCCCTTACTGGTTCAACGTTTGGGACCAGCGGAGAAATTGTTGCCCTTCAACCAAGAAAAGAAGCTGACATCCCATGGTTGTTGTTGGGACATATTTTACATGTTTGCTTATTGTGGTTTAGTGGGAAATCCCAATTTAACTGCCACAATTTACATCTTTGCTCCCCTTCCAACGTCAACCAAGATCCTACCCAGAGCATGCCAGTTACGCGCCAGTCATTTTCATATATATATATATTTTCCCCGAGGGCGGCAAGCCCTTGGTTTGCTGCAAAACCAGGTAAATGGATCCACTGGGCTAGGGATTGCTTTTTGCTTTCACCTTGCCGGTTAACTGAAAGTCTTTGCTGCGCAGAGCAGGGAGATCCACTATGAGCTGAATTTCCCTTTGGGAAAACCCCGGGCTTTGGTCTTAGTGCTGTGTTGACGGGTGCGTGTGTATCCACACCCTGAGGGCTGATCTTGGAGCCCGTTAACATCTTCCTTCAACTGTGATGCTGGTGGTTTCAACGGGAGACCAAAGGGCAGTCGCCGAGTTCTGGGGAGGTTCGCCCTAAAAAGAGTGAGCCCAAATAGCTTTGAATCTGGCAGAGTCGGCGCTTGCAAGCGCAAGCGCAAGCGCAGGCGGAGCTGTGAAATCGAGAAGGCGCTGAACCGAGGGGGGGCGATTGAGATGTTTTCCCGTTTTGAGATCCACTTTAAGCACTTGTTGGACACACTTCCAGAGGGTCCGAGAACCTCACATTTGTGGATTTGAGGAATCTGTTTGTTGGAGCAGTGATGGTTTAACCCTTACTTGGTGCGTCTTTCAATGGGACCATGTTGATTCAATCCTCGCGTGTTCATCTTGTTGGACCATTTTAGTTCTGTTTAAACCACGCGTTTTCACATTTGTTGGACCATGCCCAAACTTTTCTGTGTCCGGCTTTTGGATTTGGTTTGCTTTTTGCATCAAACATGTATTGCTTGAACGACGTCTTGTTTTGCCCCTTTGGGACCGACGTTGGTTTTATCTATCGGGTAGCTTTCGACGTTTGGACACCACGTGGTTCAAACCTCGCTTTTGTCCACATGGACCAATTTCGCTCGCCCTGTCTTTAGCCTTAGGAACCAAGCTTAGACGGTCTTTCTTCAGCGCGTGCCAAAATGACGGGTTCCGCTTTTGGTTTTCCCGAAGAAATACACAAACAAATGGTACCCTGCAAAAGGACACACTAAGAGGTTGGGTTGGACCAAATACGAATCAGAACCTGAACATCTTGATTTCGGTGTACCCCATTGTGGGAGGGGCAAAAGGTGCGCGTGATCGCGCAAAAAGCCAGGGCAAACATGGAGATCGAGCTGATCTTCAGACTCGTGGCCTGGTATTGTCTGGAATGCGAACTTCCTTAGGCAAGTTTCTCAAAATGGTGAAGCCCCCTTCTGGTTGGTAGTTAAAGGGAGCAAAAGGGAACCTACCATTTTAGGTTATCATTATTGTTGTCACTATATTATTATTGTTGTCACTATATTATTGTTAGCAAAAAGCACAACAAGCACAGGCATTTTGTTTTCTGACTACTAATCCGCCGAAGTGAGTGCTTCTTTTGCTTGCTTTTGCAGGTCGCATCTCAGGAAGCCAATCGCATTTCAGACATCGCATCGGAGAGCCAGCCGGAGTCCCATAGAAACTCGTTGTGTCGTGCCCCGGCGTTCGCCGAACGCCGAGGCACGTGCAGTTAGAAAAGGCGAGCGGCCGGCTTCAAGCGCATTAGGTTCCGACAAAATATCCAGTAAGTGTGTGCTCCAGGAAGGTCCATTTACGAAGGCTGATTAAGTTTCTCATAAAGCCGCGCGACTCAACAATTGTCGCGTCCTTCGCGGAAAGTTTTGGACCATGGCTTAAATGATTGGCAGACATGGACTTGCTTTATTGCTGTGTCCTGCTTGCGTAACGAGCTACCTAGTGTGAATGGACAGAATCCTGCACCACTGGAAATTAAGTTCTGTCGGGTTACCCATTGTTGGATTCATGAGCTCGGATTTTAGCGGAGCCTCGTGGATGCTTGGTTCTTCCTGAAAAAATGGAGCTTATTCTCATCCTACTACGTTCGCAATCAAGGGTTCATCAATCTGGGTTCCCACTATCCCCCCCCTCCCCATGTTTTCTTGTTCAGAGCATCCCCTGGCTAGAGATGGCCTTTGTTCTATTTTGTGAGTTACCGCACTGAGGCTTCAGTGCAGTTTCTTCCCCCCCGATTCCCGTCCTCTCCCTGTCTTGGCCTATAGGACAACCAGTCTTGGTGAGGGGATTCAGGCGGGAGCTGGTTAGCACGATGTAAAGTCTGAAGGGACTAGGTCCAAACCAGCACACTGGAAAGCTCACATGCTTCAAACCCATTTTATTCTGACACATGTTTTCTGGCTTTGATCCATGAGGTTAAACCTTTTCAGTGTGTTCAGTGTAAACTTAAGAGGCAAGATGGGAGGGGTGTAGCTCGCTGTGCAAAAACGGTCCGCCGGCCAGCTCTGGCACACGGTGAAGCAATGAGCATGACATCAAGGACTTGGTTTCAACGGCGTAAAATATGCGAGGGGTTTGAAAAGTACCCTTTGCCCAAAGATGGTCTTTCCTGTTGCCGAGATGCGTTGAAAAGGACCTGGCTCTAAGCCTCTAAGCTCACTCTAGGCGAGTCCAGCTTTCACGCTGCCCATTTCTGCTCGAAGGTACAATGTACCAATCCATGGGCCCACATGAGGCTGACAACGGTCGAGCTTGACTCAAAAGCACGAACCCAAAACAACGAAGGCCTCAGCCGGCGTGGATCCTAGAGGGCCCTGAAGCTCCGGAGAACCCGCATGGAGCCCGGTAAACCCTAAGCTTCTCAGAGCTGAATGCCTGGAACGACTCGCACGGAGGTCCGCTCAGTGTCTAGCTTTGGACCCAAGAGAAGGGATTGCGCTTGGTTGAAGTTCTGCCGGTTTCATTTTTGTTTTTAAACGCATCTCACCCCTCATAGCTGATCTTGCTTTGGAGAAAGGCCTTTGAATCTTTTGGGAAGGTCAATTGTAGTGGTCAACACGCCTGAGTCACTTGGGACGAATGAGAAGCGATGGCAATGTCTACAGGACCGGGTCTGCGCTGTTCAGTTGGGCCGTTTGGGTGGACCTAAGAATCTTATGTTGACACATATGCGGTGGCTCGTCTTTTTCTAGTCTAGGGCTTTCGCCCCCAAAACGGATGTCGGAAAGGGCTTTTTGGTCTTCCTTTAGAGCCACAGGAAAGGAACCCTCGAAAGACAGCAGCCCCATACTGCGTGGTGTTCAGATTTTGGAAGTAACGCTTCGCTCAACTGAGCAACAGCAGGTGTTTTGCGGTGGAAGGTCCGGAGTTAGCTTTGTTTCGCATGTGATACGCTAAGAGGGTACCCTGGCTAAGCGGTTGCCCTCGCTTAACCCCCCAAGCCCCGTAAACCCTGGTAGGGTTACTAACCATTTGCCCACCCCCCGGAAACCATCTAAGTATGGTTGCTGAAGCCTGCCCTGCTTCGGCAACCGGAGGTGTGTCTTTGCAGGGATTTCTAGAACTCTGGTAAAACGAAGCCCCTCCACTTTGTCCGACAATGAAACCTGCTTTGTCTCACCTGGATGCTGGGTTGCTTGCTTGCATTCATTCTTGCTTCTTGCTTGCTTGCTGGCTGGATTGCTTGCTTATCTGTTGGATTGTTTGTTTGTTGGCTGCTTACTTGGTTGCTCGGTCTGGCTAAATTTGTCCACGTGTCCACCTGGATGCCTGGATGCCTGCTTGCTTGCTTGCTTGCTTGCTTGCTTGCTTGCTTGCTTGCTTGCTTTCTTGCTTACTTGCTTGCTTGCTTGCTTGCTTGCTTGCTTGCTTGCTTGCTTGCTTGCTTGCTTGCTTGCTTGCTTGCTTGCTTGCTTGCTTGCTTCGCTCGCAAAATTCGAGTTCTGCAGGGCACCTGCTGCCGCCCCAGTTGGCGCCACGCCGGGACCCTTCGCCGCCCCGCGGCCCACCTCCGCTGCGCGGGGGCTCCCCCCGCGGGAGCTTCGTGCCGCCGCCGCCGCCGCCAGCGCTGGCGCCGGAGGCGATGAGCCATCCAAAGGGTCTGATCCCCATCTAATAAGTATGTTGGAGGGTTGCAGGCTGGGCTCTTGGCTATTCCCTGAGCGGCAAGGCAGAGGCGGATGGCCGGCGAGCCGGTCCTGAGGCGCCAGCGGAATGGGAGGGGGATGGAAAGGCATGGATGTTCTATTTAAGTGTAGCACCTGGTGTCCTAGAAATACGACAAAGACCAGCCAAACCGAAGGCTTACGATTTCTGGGTAACTTCTGGGGAAGTTATGTTGATCAGGGCTTTTCAGAGTCCAAACTTGGGGTGGGAGAGTCCTGTAACCTATACCACTTAGCTCACTTTGGTACAAGAAGGCGAGCAATTGGAAGGTTTGGGTAGGGCAACCTCAGCCTTCCCTAACACACACACACACACACACACCGCCCCACCTCCCCACCCACCCCACCCCCCCCCCCCTTATCTTCCTCCCTCCCCACCTCCACCCTCCCTATATACCCTCACTCCCCCAGCCCCCACCCCCCCTCCCCACCCCCACTACCACACAACAACTTTCTCCATTTATGCTCCCTTGGACAAGCCCGTGATCATATGATCCGCTCTGAGCTTGTGGCCCTCTCCCTCCCCACCCCTACTCCCCAACCCCCTCCCTATCCCACCCCGAATACCCCCCCCTCGCCTCCCCCACCGCCCCCCCCCGCCAGGCGATGCTGGAGCCCCCGCTCGCGGCGGAGCTGCGCCCCCCGCAGCGGGAGCTCGGCATCGCGCAGACCGCCGAGCTGCTGCGGCGCTTCCGGCGGGAGGCGCGGCGTTTTGTTGTTTTCCCTGCGAGGATTCGGGTCCTTAAGGCAGCCTCAAGTCCTCGAGAGGTGCCTCCAGGTGCCTAGATGGATCAGCTGGATCCAAGGTTCAAGGATGACTGGGTGGTGCCCTTTTACCAACTTTTTTGGTTCCCCTATTAAAAAAGACTACAGAAAAAGGGTACCCTTATTCTAACCTCTCTACTGGTGGACCTAGTAGTTGTGTTTTGTGTGTCTTCCATTTGAAATTAAGAACATTATTTAAGGGCTGCCGCCCTGTGCCGCCGACCCTTGTCTGTTTTTGTGCGAGCTCGGGTTTAGACCACGTGGAAGTGAAGAAGAAACTTGAGGGGGCCACCTCTCGAATGGTTTGGCAGCAAGCGGCCCCGATTAAAAGGTCGAACTTTTTGCTCAAGCAGAAGATCGATTTGTAACACAGTCCAGAAGCTGTGTTTTAGTAGAGCTTCCAGTCGCTACGCTTCTCCATGCCCTGGGACAGCATGTGATGCAATCTGTTTGGCGGTGGCGTGCCTACACGCGGCGCCACGAGCTGCCACTTCCTCAAAAAGGACGGCCAAAAGGACTCGCTTCTCGAGTCTCTCGACTGCAATGTGTCGTATAGCGGAGGATGTCGGCGCCTTTCCAATTAGGGTCTTTTTATGGACCCCCTCTTTTATTGCAGCAGCAACAGGTTTGTTTCTGAGTCAAGACGTATGAGAGCTGTGAAAGTTGCACATTAGCTGGGATAGAGGGTTGGGGTTTGCCAGAACCGAAAGTCCAGCGAGTGCTGTGCCTTTTTTCTTTGAAGGCGCTGGGGAGTGCTGAAACCCAGTGAGAAGCGGAAGCGAGATTCTAGCTTCGGTGGAGTCCTGTGACTTCCAGGCTCTGGGAAAGATGGCCTGGTGGGTTCAGTGAAGGAGTGGAAGTGACTCCAAGTGTTGGCGGGATTTCGACTTCTGGAGCTGTCCAGATCCCTCAACTGCAGAAATCTGAGGAGGGCCGGACTGTTCAGTTCAACGATCCTTGTTAACGCGGTGCGTCCTTTTTTTGTCTCGATCTTTGGGAGAGGACCGGCGCTGTTGCCATTCCGCGGTGCGGTGTTCGCGAGTCGGCAGATCCTTCGTGTTTAGTACAGATGGACGGGTTTACTGCTTGGAGCACGTGGTTTCATCACCACTCATCTAGTTAAGGGTGTCAATGGCAAATGCCGAGCGCACATTATCTCACAACAGGAATCCAACCCCCCAACTCGGATTTTGGTTTCTTTTCGGTTTCCTTTTGAACACACCCAAGTTTGCAATGCTGACCCTGATGTATAACACCTACAGTTGTGAATCGGGGGTCCCTTTTTGTGGTTGCATTACTTTCTTGTTAGTTCAGACGCCAGGCGCCATCCTGGGCATGGATGTGTGCGTTCGGAAGCCTTTGGTGGTCACCTGCGGCATCGACAAGTCCGCACGGGTTTGGACGCTCCAGCATGGTTTTGTCTTTTCTGAGTCGCAGAGGGCTCGCCATCTTAACGACAATCCAGATCCCTCAACTGCAGAAATCTGAGGAGGGTTGGAATGACATCGACCACAGCATTGGGGAGTTCATCCAGACGGCGTCTGCCGCACTTCTGCCGCACTCTTCCTGCGGACTTCGAGGCGGGCAAGTTGCGGCTGTAAGGGTGAGCGTGCGGCATGTCATGTCTTTGTTCATTCGGTGTAGAGTTATCTTTCTTGTTTTTTGGGGGAAGGATCGGTGCTGTCGTCATTCTGCGGTGCGGTGTTCGCGAGTCAGAATGGGGACGTCGCTGAGCCTCTTTGTTTTATATAGGGACAACTTTTCTATTGGGAGCACGTGGCCTCATCGCCACGAATCTAGCTAACAGTGTCAAGGGCAAATGGCAAGGAAATGTTATTTCAACAACCTCTGTTTATGTGGTGCAGAGTTTATGTGTCTCGGTCTTTGGGGAAGGACTGGTGCCGTCGTCACACTGCGGTGCGGTGTTCGCGAGTCAGAATGGGGACGTCGCTGAGCCTTTGTGTTTTATAGAGGGACAACTTTTTTATTGGGAGCACGTGGCCTCATCATTTCTCATCTAGCTATCAGTCTCAAGGGTAAATGGCGAGCGTATGTTATGTCAACGATCTCTGTTAACGCGGTGCATCATTTTTTGTCTCGATCTTTGGGAGAGGACCGGCGCTGTTGTCATTCCGCGGTGCGGTGTTCGCGAGTCGGAATGGGGACGTCGCTGATCCTTCGTGTTTAGTACACATGGACAGGTTTACTGCTTGGAGCACGTAACGTCATCACCACTCATCTAGTTAAGGGTGTCAATGGCAAATGCCGAGCGCACATTATTTCATCGACTTCTGTTCATGTGTTGCAGAGTTATCTGTCTGGCTCTGTGGGGAAGGACCGGTGCCGTTGTCATTCTGCGGTGCGGTGTTCGCGTGTCAGAATGAGGACGTCGCTGATCCTTTTTGTTTTGTATAGATGGACAGCTTCTTTGTTTCGAGCACATGGCTTCATCACCGCGCATCAAGCTAAGAGTGTCAAGGACAATGGTGAGCATGTGGTTTTGGTGCGTGTATATATATATATATAATGTGTATATATGTACATGTATCTCACAACAGGAATCCAACCCCCCAACTCGGATTTTGGTTCCCCTTCGGTTTCCTTTTGAACACACCCAAGTTTGCAATGCTGACCCTGATTTATAACACCTGCAGTTGTGAATGGGGGTCCCTTTTGGTGGTTGCATTACTTTCTTGTTAGTTCACCCCTGATGAACTGACATGGATTCGGGTGTCTGTTTGGTTTCTCTTAAAGGGTAGGCTAGCCTCCCAAAAACAATTCAGCTGGGGGTAAACCAGCTCGGCGCACCCAAAGGGGTAGCTAGGATACGCACACGCACACACATGCATGGATTTCCGAATGTTTGGTTTCCCTTCGGTTTCCCATAAACACACACAACATACACACGGCAAACATGTACCCAGCCTCCCAAACAAAACAAATGCAACTCGGCAAGCCTTTTGTCTAACGCGCATGACGCCAGGCGCCATCCTGGGCATGGATGTGTGCATTCGGAAGCCTTTGGTGGTCACCTGCGGCATCGACAAGTCCGCACGGGTTTGGACGCTCCAGCATGTTTTTTTTGTGTGAGTCGCAGAGGGTTCGCCATCTTAACGACAATCCAGATCCCTCAACTGCAGAAAGCTGAGGAGGGTTGGAATGACATCGACCGCATCATCGGGGAGTTCATCCAGACGGCGTCTGCCGCACTCTTCCTGCGGACATCGAGGCGGGCAAGTTGCGGTTGTAAGGGTGAGCGTGCGGCATGTCATGTCTTTGTTCATTCGGTGCAGAGTTATCTTTCTTGTTTTTTGGGGGAAGGATCGGCGCTGTCGTCATTCTGCGGTGCGGTGTTCGCGAGTCAGAATGGGGACGTCGCTGAGCCTCTTTGTTTTATATAGGGACAACTTTTTTATTGGGAGCACGTGGCCTCATCATCACGAATCTAGCTAACAGTGTCAAGGGCAAATGGCGAGGAAATGTTATTTCAACAACCTCTGTTTATGTGGTGCAGAGTTTATGTGTCTCGGTCTTTGGGGAAGGACTGGTGCCGTCGTCATTCTGCGGTGCGGTGTTCGCGAGTCAGAATGGGGACGTCGCTGAGCCTTTTTGTTTTATAGAGGGACAACTTTTTTATTGGGAGCACGTGGTCTCATCATTTCTCATTTAGCTAACAGTCTCAAGGGCAAATGGCGAGCGTATGTTATGTCAATGATTTCTGTCAACGCGGTGCATCATTTTTTGTCTCGATCTTTGGGAGAGGACCGGAGCTGTTGTCATTCCGCGGTGCGGTGTTCGCGAGTCGGAATGGGGACGTCGCTGAACCTTCGTTTTTAGCATACATGGACAGGTTTACTGCTTGGAGCAGGTGGCTTCATCACCACGCATCTTGCTAACAGTGTCAATGGCCAATGCCGAGCGCACATTATTTCATCGACTTCTGTTCATGTGTCGCAGAGTTATCTGTCTGGCTCTGTGGGGAAGGACCGGTGCCGTTGTCATTCTGCGGTGCGGTGTTCGCGTGTCAGAATGAGGACGTCGCTGATCCTTTTTGTTTTGTGTAGATGGACAGCTTCTCTGTTTCGAGCACATGGCTTCATCATCGCGCATCAAGCTAAGAGTGTCAAGGACAATGGCGAGCATGTGGTTTTGGTGCGTGTATATATATATATATATTGTGTATATATGTACATGTATCTCACAACAGGAATCCAACCCCCCAACTCGGATTTTGGTTCCCCTTCGGTTTCCTTTTGAACACACCCAAGTTTGCAATGCTGACCCTGATTTATAACACCTGCAGTTGTGAATGGGGGTCCCTTTTGGTGGTTGCATTACTTTCTTGTTAGTTCACCCCTGATGAACTGACATGGATTCGGGTTTCTGTTTGGTTTCTCTTAAAACACCCCTCCCCCCTCCTCAAAAGGGTAGCCTAGCCTCCCAAAAACAATTCAGCTGGGGATAAACCAGCTCGGCGCACCCAAAAGGGTGGCTAGGACACGCACACGCACACACATGCATGGATTTCCGAATGTTTGGTTTCCCTTCGGTTTCCCATAAACACACACAACATACACACGGCAAACATGTACCCAGCCTCCCAAACAAAACAAATGCAACTCGGCAAGCCTTTTGTCTGATGCGCGTGACGCCAGGCGCCATCCTGGGCATGGATGTGTGCAGTGGTCAGCTGCGGCATCGACAAGTCCGCACGGGTTTGGACGCTCCAGCATGTTTTTTTCTTGTCTGAGTCGCAGAGGGTTCGCCATCTTAACGACAATCCAGATCCCGCAGCTGCAGAAATCTGAGGAGGGTTGGAATGACATCGACCACAGCATCGGGGAGTTCATTCAGACGGCGTCTGCCGCACTCTTCCTGCGGACTTCGAGGCGGGCAAGTTGCGGTTGTAAGGGTGAGCGTGCGGCATGTCATGTCTT